TAGACGTGGAGAGGAGAGGAGAGCAGAGGAAAACAATAAGCCGGCTCCCAGGGAAAAGCAGACGTAGACGCTAGCGAAGGCTGGGTGAGAACAGCAGTGAAGTATCTTCATGATCAGGTCGTTGAAGCTTCTTCCCTCTTGCAGGTCTGAAAGCAACAGACAGCGGATCGTATTTCAGCTCCCAGGACTCAACCTGCCCCTCCGATTCGGGATCTGTGGAAGAGGTGGATGAGTACGAGATCCGAGGTAGGATGAGCTCCGTAGAACGAGCCCTGAGCTACCCTTCCTTTACAACGTAGTCCTCGACTTACGACCATTCATTTAGTGACCGTTCAAAGTTATGACGGCACTGAACATCAGCGACTTGGGAGCGTCTTCCACATTTAACCGTTGCAACATCTCTGTGTTTGCACGATCACTTAGTAATGGGCCGGCTCCTTTATTGGAATAAATCGAGGACTAGCTGTATTGCAATTGGCCTTTCCATTCTCCTGTTGAGACACGCTCTCCTGTCATCCCCTCCATGTCCTGCAGATGGAAACGAAGGATCCAACCTGATTCACATGTCCAACAGCGACCTGTCTGTCTCGATGGCCTCGTTGTTTTCAGGTAATCCCTTTCCCTTCCTGAACCCTTGGCAAGTCCATATCAAATATGACAAAATAGATTGGGTGTCAGACCTGCCCAGATTTGGCCCTTTAGGCAAGAAAGACCCTCAACTCCAATGGTAGTAAAAGGTTTACTTTACTAAAAGCCAAGTGGTTTACAGTATACCAACCCCAGAACTGGAGTTTGCGCAGCCAATTTTCCCAGTTAACTTTCTCTGTCCAGTTCCTCCCCCTTGCTGGTCGCTTATTGTCCATCAGCGTTCCAGCAAACCTCCATTCCAATCAGTAACTCCGAGGCAAGCATAATCTCAAATATACCTTTATTAGAATAGCACCTGGCACATCTTTGGAATCTTGAAACTAAAAGCTTCCCAGACTTCCTGCAATGTCCCAAACTACAATCCATCCCCTTTTCTCCCATCATCACATCACACGGACCAATCACGATCCGTCCCAGTGTAAAATCCTTTTTCTCTGCTGCGCCACATTTAATAACTTTGTACTAATAAAAGAATGTTATTTTGTCTACTTAGAACTACTCAATTGAAATCATCCGCCCTCCCACTTTCTCAAGCTATATTTTAATTCTTTATATGTCCTACATTTGTATATTAAACAGTCCCATTCCAGTCAAAAATTGATTTCCCTCACAACTGAAAAACCAGTAGTCCAGGGATGGGGAACCTTTTATGGCTCACTCAGGAATTCTGGGAGTTGAAGTCCATAAGTGATAAAAGAGCCAAGTTTCTCTACCCCTGGACTAGAAGATGTCCGAGGTCCCTTCCAACTATGTTATTCTGCCTTCTGTTTCAAATTTGACATTTTTTCATCTCTGTTGTGTTATTATTATTTTTGAAAAAGTTTTTTTTATTTTAACAACAAAGACAACAAATGAAACCATCTTTCAATTCTGCAGTGTGTCGGTTGGGTACATATATCTTGCGCACATAATAAAGTTATACATTTCTTGTTATACATTTATAAACCATTCTAATCAGCATTTTATATCATATTGTACAAATGTTATATTATTATTGACATTATAATTGTCATCTTTTAAAAACATACCTCATTCTTGCTAACTTATATTCATTCTCTACCTCATTCAAGGTTAGTCAATTATAATATATTACAAGTATTACTACATATTTCAATTTCTTTATTTTTCTATCTAACCTGTGATGACCCAGGGTGGGATACAAAATAAACACAGTCACAAAAAACAGGTGAAGCTCCTTTTATTCCTTCACTTTGCTTCCAAGCTCCAAATATCCTTGACTGGAGACAAAAAACTCCCCCACAAGCAGTTACAAGAAGGAGGAAATGCCGTTTAAATTATAAAGAGTAAAAAGCAACACAAACCAGGCAAGATAAGGGCTGGAGGACATCCACAGATAACAGAATACACGCTGGGAAGGACGCCAAACTAGGAGAGGAACCATAAACTAGAGATATTTCCATGCTTTGTTTCCAGCACTGGCCCGTACGCATGTTCGTCCTCTTATCCAGTTGTCACAGCTGCAGCCCATGAAGAGGATCAAGGCCCTCTCCTCCCGAGTAGACCACATCTCTCCCTTATCCTCTCCTCCCTGCGTGCCCTAGGATGGAGAAGGGATGGGCCTGGATCCTCCTCTGACTGCCCAGCCGGCCTCTGCCCTTCCTCAGCCTCCTCCACAACCTCCGGAGCCACACTTCCACTCCCTGTCGGCTTCCTCCTCTCCCTCAGAGTCAGTCTCCACGGGGGCATGACATAGCCATTCATAAAATAAATCCCAAATTTTATAGCACTCTTTTTCCTCCTGTTCTCTAATTGCCATTGTTAATCTACTCATTTCCGCACATTCCATTATTTTTTTTAATTGTTTCCTCCTCCGTCGGGATTTTCTCATTTTTCCAATTTTGTGCAAATACAATTCTAGCTGCTGTTAATACATTAATAATGAAATATGTTATCTCTCTATTATAACCTTATTTCTGTTATGTTAGATGCGGACATCAAGAGGAACCAACCTCCGAGTAAAAAGTCCTTCCTTTCCTCTGGTTCCGGGTACGTACGCCTTCTTCTGATGCTTCATTTTCCCTCCCTCAGCCCAGCCAACCTGGATTCAGAGACAGGTAGTCCTCGACTTGCGACCACAACTGAGCCCAAACGTTTCTGTTGCTAAGTGAGAAAGTTGTTAAAGTGTGCTTTGCCCCCATTTTACGACCCTTCTTGCCACCGTTGCTAAGATAAATCCCTGCGGTCGTTCAATTAGTAACCCTTCGATTCATTCAGTGGTTAAGTTTAATCTGGCTTCCCCGTTGACTTTGTTAGTCAGGAAGTCCCAAAAGGGGATTGTCAACTCATAAAACATTCCTAGGCCTGTTTTAGTAGCTGCCATTAAAAAAATAAAAAGTGGGGGGGGGAAGGAAATCTGGAAGAGCAGTGCAGCGGTTTGGAAGCGGAAGTCCATTCCAACTCTTATCTTTAAAAGATTGTGACTAAACTACCAGAGCTTTTGTCCGGGAATATATTTAATTGAAGAACGTGATGGATGACACCCAGCCTGGGAAGGTGCTCAGTTGGGGAATCTGATTTATGACACACCCCCAGGGAGGGTGGAGGGTGGAAACAGGGCCACAGGGGACTGTGAATGACGTAGGCCAGAGTTGGCTTCATCCAGGGCAGGGCCAGTATGTCGCCTCTAATGAATCCTTCGAAGTTGTTTGAAGTTTGGCTCGAGAATCATGATCTCATTAGGGCGGTTGCTGGAATCCTGACAGAGATCACATGACCCCCCCGGGATACCGCAACGGTCGTAAATATGAACCAGTTGCCAATCGCCTGAAGTTTGATGGCTTTTTCCAATGCCGTTATAACTTAAAACGGGTCACTGTACGAATGGTCGTAAGTCGAGGACTACCTGTGCTCTTGGTGAGTGTGTAATTGAGTGGTTTTGGATGGGTGGGGGGGGGAGGAGGTTGCTGAATACCAGCCTTCTTATTTCCCTCGACTGAACCGTCATTTGGAAGTTCTGAGGATTATTTTGAGGCTGGGTCCAATCCCGCTGGAGGGAGAAGCTGGAGGCCACCTTCAGGACCCCTGAATTAAAAGGCAACTAGGGCCAGGCTCACCCGGAGAGCTTCCAGTTGCTCGTCCACCTCTTGCGTCAGGGAGTAACCACCCAGGGCTTGAGAAGAGCATTGGCTTCTGTGTTCCACCCCAGGGATGGGGGGAGCCCAGCCTGGACCAGGCAGGAGAAGCAGCGGCGGTTAAGAGCAGATGGGAGTCATCAGGGCAGCCAAGGCACGGGAGGGGGGTGCTTCCTGTTGGTAAGGCAGGGGGGACGCCTTCCAGAGGAGGGGAGAAGGCAGGGAGGGTAGAGGAAGGACAGAGACGGGGAGGGAGGGAGGACAGGAAGGACAAGAGCGAGAGGGAGGCAGGAAAGAAGGAAGGGAATGAGAGAGGGGGAGATGGGAATGAGAGGGAGGAAGGGAAGGAAGGACATGGGAAGGAAGGGAGGGAAGGAAGGAAGGGAATGAGAGGGGGGGAGATGGGAATGAGAGCGAGGAAGGGAAGGAAGGACATGGGAAGGAAGGGAGGGAAGGAAGGAAGGGAATGAGAGGGGGGGAGATGGGAATGAGAGCGAGGAAGGGAAGGAAGGACATGGGAAGGAAGGGAGGGAAGGAAGGAAGGACCCAGGAATGAGGGAGGACAGGAAGGACAAGAGCGAGAGGGAGGCGGGAAAGAAGGAAGGACATGGGAATGAGAGGCAGAGCGAGAGATGGGAATGAGAGGGAGGACAGGAAGGAAGGAAGGAAGGGAAGGAAGGAAGGGAATGAGAGGGGGGGAGATGGGAATGAGAGGGAGGAAGGGAAGGAAGGACATGGGAAGGAAGGGAGGGAAGGAAGGAAGGGAATGAGAGGGGGGGAGATGGGAATGAGAAGGAGGAAGGGAAGGAAGGACATGGGAAGGAAGGGAGGGAAGGAAGGAAGGACCCAGGAATGAGGGAGGGAGGAAGGAAAGGAGGGAAGGAGGGAGGCAGTGAGGAAGGAAGGACATGGGAATGAGAGGCAGAGCGGGAGATGGGAATGAGAGGGAGGAAGGAAAGGAAGGAAGGGAATGAGAGGGAGGAATGGAAGGAAAGACATGGGAAGGAAAGAAGGGAAGGAAGGAGGGAGGGAGGAAGAAAGAAAAAGAAGGAAGGGGATGGTGAAGGTAGGAAGACAGGAAGAGAGGGAAGGACGCAGGAATGAGGGAGGAAGGAAGAACATGGGAATGAGAGGCAGAGAGGGAGGTGAATGAGAGGGAGGAAGGGAAGGAAGGAATGAAAGGAAGGAAGGAAAGAGGGAGGGAGATGGGAATGAGGGAGGAAAGGAAAGGAAGGAAGTAATGAGAGGGAGGAAGGGAAGGAAGGACATGGGAATGAAGGGAGAGAAGGAAGGAGGGATCAGGGATAAGAGGGAGGAAGGAAAGGAAGGAAGGAGGGGAGGGAGGGAAGGAGGAAGGAAGGAAGAAAAAGAAGGAAGGAGTTGGTGAAGGAAGGAAGACAGAAAGGAGGAATGGAAAGACACAGGAAGGAGGGAGGAAGGAAGGAAGGAAAATATCTGGTTCCACCCCACCCCCGTAGCTTCTTCCAGAAAAGTAAGTTCTTCATCCTGCCTGTAGGGGGCAGTCTAAAGCAGTGTTTTTCCAACCATGACAACTTTTTAAGAAATGTGGATTAAAATGCCTCTGCCAACATAAAAGTCTCGAATGATTTCCTTCTTCTCTTTACTACCATAGCAAACTTGGCCTTGATCATCTATTAATTGCAATATTTTCCTTGATTCTTTCTCCTTTCTCAATTTGAATGCTAACCATCTACCTGGTTTGTTTGCGTCTTTAAAGTAGTTCTGTTTAGCACCTCTAATTTTCTGTGCTAATTCTTCTTTTTCTATTTGACCCATTTTATGTTTAACTATATCCATTTTTAGCTTGATGTCCTTTTTCTGTGGCATTTTCTGTAGCTCTTTTTCAAGTCCTTTATGCTCATCCTCTAATGCCTTAGAGGCTAATCTTTTCATGGTATTTCTTTTCCTTGTATAGTCTATTATCAAGCCTCTAACATATGCCTTCATTGTATCCCTTACATTCTGAATTGATGTATCTTCTTTTTTGTTTTCTCTAAAGAAAAAAGCCAATTCTTTCTCCATCCACTGTGTGAAGTCTTTTTCCTTTAAAATAGTATTATTTAATGTCCATCTAGATCTTCTTTTTTGTCCTTTCCATTTAATTGTCATTGGATTGTGATCTGCCCAAGTACTTGTTTCAATATTTATTTCTTGAATGTTAGATATTAATTCTGTTGACATCCATATCGTATCTCTTCTGGACCATGATAAGTGTCTATTTGAGTAGAAGGTGTATTGTTTAGTTTTAGCATTTCTTTCTCTCCATGTATCTTTTAAGTTTATTTCGTCTACCATATTAAAAAAAGATTTAGGGAGAGTCTTTCTGTTTTGCTTTATTGTTTCCTGTGCTGTATAGTCCAGTTTGTTGTCTACAATTCCATTAAAATCTCCCATCATAACTATATTAGCATAGTCCAGTTCAATTATTTTGATATGTAATTTTTTATAAAATTCTTCTTGTTTATCATTTGGGGCATAGATTGCAATCAGGAGTGTTTTCGTATTATTATCCATTATTTCCACCATTAGTATTCTTCCGTCGTAATCAGTATAGATCAATTTCACTGGAATGGTCTCTTTAATATATAAAAAACCACTCCTCTTTTCTTGCATTGTGTCAAGGAGGTAAATATTTTCCCTAGTTTTGGCTGTATCAACAATTCTTCATATTGCTTTTTAATATGTACTTCTTGTAGGCAGATAATATCAAATTTTAATTTCTCTAATTTATGGAAAGTTTTCCTTCTTTTAACGGCTGAATTAAGTCCATTTATATTAATTGTAATCAATTTTTTCTCTTCCATGGTTATATTTTATAATTAGGTTTGGCAGCTCTCGTGGATCTTGGTTCACGTTGTCCTTTGGCTTCCTCCTTTCCACCTACTACACCTTCCTCTTTTTCAGTCGTCATTTGGCAGTCCGCTTGGAATTCAATTAGTGAAATTTCTTTTTCTGCCTCTTCCTCTTTCCCTCTGAAAAATTCTGTATAAAATGATTCAGCTTTCTCAATTGAATCAATTCTGTATCTCTGTTCTTGCCATGTGAACATTAAACCTTCTGAAATCAGCCATCCATAATTCACCTCTTTTTTAAGTAGCAATTTGGTCAAGAATCGGTATTCTCATCTCTCTCACTCTTCTGGGTACTTGTTTCAAAACCGCAATCTCCTTATCTTTATATTTCAATGTTTTCTCTCTTGCCACTTGCAATATTTGCGTTTTAATGGCTTTTTTTGTAAATCTGATGTGAACTTCTCTTGGTAGGCTATTTCTCATTGTGTATCTTGTGAAAACTCGATAAACCTCATCTATTCCATCCATCATCTTCTCTTCAGTTATTTCCAAAGCTTCAGCCAATATTTCTATCATTATCTCAGCTAGATTTTGTCCTTTTTCTTCCTCTATGTTTTGGAATCTGAGATAAAATTCTGATCTGTTACAAAATCAAAAAGGTTACAAAATCAAAAAGGAGAAAAAAATAGATATAAACGAAAAAACCAGTCCAGTTTCAAAATACAAGATCATGTATAGAAAATCCAGCAATGAGAAAACAAAACAAAACATTACTTTGACATTCCTGTTTAAAATCGCCGCTTAATCACTTCTGTCAAAACTTTTACAGATTCTTTCTTTTCCTTAGGGTGTCCTTTCAGATCTTAGAATAAAGAAAAAGTTCTCACCAAACCGTCACACTCTCTCTTTCTGTTCTCTTCCGTTTCGGAGCTGTCCCAACTTCAGCAGCTTTAATGGCTGCCTCTTTGCCGCTGGCAAGAAGAGCCTCTCCTGGATCTACCAGGGACTTTGCAGTATCCCTGGGATCGACAGGATGCGCTCTTCACTTTCACCGTCTCTTCGGGACGATTTAGATCCGATAGGATCGTCCAGAAGCAAAGATATCGGCAGCGATCTCAGACCTCCGAGATCGCATGCCGTATCGTCGCGACGCCAGCTCCGCCCCCCCCAAGTCTACACACATCTTAAAGTTGTCAAGGTTGACTGGTTTGGGGCATTCTGACTGTTGAGCTCCACCCATACAACCGGGGGTTTCTGGGAGCGGAAGTCCCCACAGCTTAAAGTTGCCGCGGTTGAAAGGCACCGAGGATCCCATCCTGCTTCTTTTACATGGGTTGTTGTCTCAACCACTTCCTCCAGGAGCTACCACAGCTTCCTCAACTCCAACTCGGCAGAAGCCGTAGCCATGGGCTTACTCAAGCAGTTCGAAGGGATGCAGCTGCCCGCAGCCTCTGAACTGGAGTGGCTGGTGCCCGAACATGATGCCCCACAGAAGGTAGGTATCTCTGGGCAGAAGGTCAGCCACTACTCTGACTAATTTCGCTTGCCTTCCCACCTTCTTTGGTGGGAAGGTAAAAGCGTTCCGTGCGTCTTTGGTGTATAGCAGGGGTGGGCTGCTGGGGGTTCACAGGGATTCGGGGAGAGCCCCCTAGCTAAGATTCTGCGCAGTTTGGAGAATGTGATGACCTGAGGCGTGGCACAAAAGCAACAAAGTCACAAAAGTAGGTAAAGTCCCTTTAATTCCTCCAACTTGGCCCCCAATGTCCAGTTATCATCAGCTGGAGAGAAAACTCTCCCAAGAACAGTTTTTAAAGGGAAGAAATTCAGCCCAAACCCAAAGTACATATAAATTATAAATAAAAACCAACACAAACCACAACTGCAGCAATTAACAAGACAGGGCAGGATAAGAGATTGAAGACCTCAAAAGATAACAAAACACACAGTCGGGAGGATGCCAGAACCCAGATAAGATGTGACAAACAAAGTTAAGTCACGATTTGCTTGCAACAGCTTCCTGTGCACAGCTTCCCTTTTTAAACACTGTGTTCCTGGCTGCAGCTAATGAAGGGGATCAGGGCCCTTTCCTCCTTCGTAAGCCATGCCACCCACGTTGCTCCCTTCTCCATTCCTCCCTGTGTGCCGTAGGATGAAGAGGGGGTGGGCCTGGGTTTTCCTCTGAATGCCCAGCTGGACTGTGCCCTTCCACAGTTTCCTCCACAGCCACCGGAGCCACACTCCCACTCCCTGTCAGCTGTTCGACCTCCCCCTCGGAATCAGATTCCAACAGGGGCATGACAGAGAATCCCCAAATCCCACTTCTGGCTGGCCCCGCCCACCCCTCCCAGGAGTCCCCACGTGGCCCGTTTTGGGTGCAGGGCATGAGAGGAGCAGTGGTGGCATTCAGCCGGTTTGCACCGGTTCACGCGAACCAGTAGCAAGTATTTGGCGTGGGTCGCCGAACCGCTAGTAACTGCTGGCTGGCCACGCCCCCAACCTGGTTGCCCCTCCCCCTCCCCACCCAGTCAGTCCTTATCACGCATGCGTAACATCGCTGACTGCATTCTTCCCTGCCCAGTCATTCCTTAAGTTATTTTTTTCCCCTCCCGACAATCAGCTGTTCCTACCATTCAGCTGTGCCAGGATCCCCCTCGCTGTCTGACTGCTTCACCCGGGAGGCTTCCCTGAGGCCCAGGAAGGCAAAAAATGGAGGAAGGGGGGGGTGCAGCACTCCCCCCACCCCCCGCGCTCCATTTTTTGCCTTCCTTCCTGGGTCCCAGGGAAGCTTCCTGAGAGCAAAAACGCCCCCCAGAGGCTTCCTCGAGGCCCAGAAGGTCCCAAAATGGAGTGTGTGTGTGGTGGGGGGGGTTTGCTGTGTGCCCCCTCTCCAGGCTCAGTTTTTTTTTCCTTCCTGGGATCCAGGGAAGACTTCTGGGAGCAAAAAAAACGCCACCCTCAGGAGGCTTGCCTGAGCCCCAGAAGGTCCAAAAAACGGGGGATGGGGGGAGGCAGGGTTGCTGCAAAAAAGCCACCCCCATCCAGTCACATGGCCCTGCCCACCTAGCCACGCCCACAGTAAAAAAATTGAAATCCCACCACTGCCGCGGAGGCTCAGGGAGGGCAAAAAAAACGAGCCTCCCAGAAGTTCGAGAAGGCCAGAAATGGGCCCTTTTCCAGCTTCCAGGGAGCCTCCAGAGCCCGGGGAGGACAAAAATGCCCCCCCCCCCCCGTGGTGCAGGAGGCCGATTAGGCCACGCCCACCCAGCAACCTGGCAGAGGACCTCTTGCTAAAAATTTTTGAAGCTCACCCCAGCTATAGTCATGCTGGCCACATGACCACGGAAGCGTCTTTGGACAATGCTGGCTCCCTTGGCCAAGGAATGGAGATGAGCACTGCCCCCTAGAGCCGTGAGATGGTGAACCCATGGCACGCGTGACGCAGGTGGCACGCAGAGCCCTTTGTGCCGGCATGCGAGCTGCGGGCAAGTTTACCTCACTGCGCATGCGCGCGCCTCCCAGCTGATTTTCAGCCCGTTTGAGGCCTTTTTCAGCCTCCCAAAGGCTTGAGGAAGGCTTCTGCAAGCTTTGCAGGCCAAAAACTAGGCCCGTTTCGTCATTTCCTGTTTTTTCCAAAAATACCAGAAGTGGTGAAACATGGCTAGTTTTCGGCCTGCAGAAGCCTGCAAAAGCCTTCCTCAAGCCTCTGGGAGGCCGAAAGAGGCCTCCAACCGGCCGAAAATCAGCCGTGAGGTGCAGTGCAGGTAAGGGGGCGGTGGCTGGGTGGGTGGGGATTGCGCGCGCATGCGTAGGGGGCATAGGGGGGCATTGTCCTCTGGTTGCTGGCACGCGAACACGAGCATGCAAGCGCATACACAATTTTTGGCACAGGAGCCCCAAAAGATTAGCCCCCACTGCCCTAGAGTCAGGCACAATTAGGGAGGGACAAGGGCAGGAGAAACCTTTGCCTTCGTCCCACCCTCAGTCTTTCCATCGCAGCTTCCCTTCCCGACTAGCTTCCCAAAATTTTAGAGGGAAATCCCCGTGATATTTTGTCACGAATGAAGGCGAATATATATCTGTCCCGGGATAACGTTACAGGATCAGAGTGGTGCGGCGGGCTTAGAAGTGCAGCTCTCGGCTCACAATCAGGAGGCTGTGAGTTCGATCCCAGGTAGAGGCAGATATTTCTCTCTCTGGGCACACTAAGAATATATCTGCCGAAAAAAACTCCACACTGGCAACAGGAAAAGCATCTGGCCAGTAAAACACTCTGCTAGCTCCATTCAGCTGCCCAGATTCCATCCCGCAAGGGATTATGGGGTCGTTAAAAGAAGATGATAATGTTGCAGGATCCAATCTGGGTCGGTCCACTGGGGCCAGAGGTTTTGTCTTCCGAGCTTTCGGACACGTGCTGGAACCCATCTTCGGGGAACTTCTCTCTAGAATATTTTGTGTTGGTTTTCAGGGCCCGATAAAGTTTCTTAAAAAGCTTTTTAAGCGCCCCAAGTGGTATAAGAAAAGACGGCTTTCCGCCAAGCTACTGCTGGTAGGTGCCAAGGGGAGCATGGTGCCAACCGACTGTGTGCTTTTTTCAACACAAAAAAAAAAAAAATGCATTGGGAGTGCTGGTGTGGTTTGATGTGGAGTGTACAGTAGAAGCCAGCTCCATTGCAGAAGAACATAGTATTAGGCATGTAACCGGGGCTGTTTGCAGGGGAGTTCAATCGTCTTCGGTCTGAGTTTCATAAATACAGCGGTAAAGATTGCATCCCTGGGCCACAATTCCTCGTGTAAGAATTTGGGTACAGTTTGAAAGCATTTTGCAGTGGCATGGGTCAGCCACAGGAGCAAAGTCAAATTGACTTATTCCACAGTGATACAGAATAGACGATAGACAAGCCAAGTCCAAAAAAACGCCAGGGAATTCTTGGAATTCGGAGAAATCAGCCATCAACAGGCCCAGAGAGATAAACCATGTTTGCACGCCGTTCCAAAGAGACGATCAGAAAGACCAAAACACCACCTTGCCAGCAAGCTACACCCAGATAAGCAGAGATTAAGGTCAGGATTAATACTGGACCAACAAGAACTAATAACATGCCAGTTAAGGAAATAACTCAGAAAAACAATCGCAGAGTAATCAGTCTAATTAAGGACTTGCCAACTACATTCACGCCAACACTGACAGGGCAAGCCGTTTATATATAGACAGGGAGCAAACCCCACATTTCATTGCCCTGATGGCATTACCTAGTTGGGTAATGAAACATCTGCAAGATAACCAACAAGCTCAGAGAGCACCAAGGATCCCGCAGACCTCCTCATCTTCCCACAAACTCCACTCCTTTCTAGCACTGATGATGTTCCCTACCTGGGTAATAAAACATCTGCAAGAAAACAACCAAACTCAGAAAACACCAAGGACCCCACAATTTTCCTCCTCCTCCTCCTCCTCCTCCTCATCATCATCATCATCATCATCTCCACAAACCCCACTGCCTTGTAGCACTGATGATGTTATCTAGTTGGGTAATGAAACGTCTGCAAGAAAACCATCAAGCTCAGAGAGAACCCAGGACCCCACAGACCTCCTCATCCTCCTCTCCACAAATCCCATTCCCTTCTAGCACTGATGATGTTCCCTAGTTGGGTAATAAAACATTTGCAAGGAAACAACCCAGCTCAGAGAGCACCAAGGGCCGCACAATTCAACCTTGAGCAACAACAAATCCAGGCCATTTAATTCGCTCTTTGGTACAAATCCATAAAATGTGTGGATTTAATAACCACGTGGAGGGGTGCGGTGGCTCAGTGGCTAAGATGCTGAGCTTGTCGATCCAAAAGGTCGGCAGTTGGGCGGTTCAAATCCCTAACCCTAACCCGAGGCTTCTAGCAATGCTGTGGTCATAAAAAGGTGTTAGAAAAAAGGATTTCAGATAAGAAACAGCCCTGTTTACATTCCTTGAAAGTGCAAAAGCTGGGCCAGAGTTTTTTGCTTTGTGTGATAAAAAGGGGAGAGGGAAAGATTTCACACTGTGTTGAAAACAGGACTAACAATGCTAGTGTGGACTCTTAGGTGGTCTCAGCACGTGGCCAGGATCCCTTCTGCCTTCCTCTACTGTTTTAACTCAAGCACCTCCCGATTCACTCCTGCGTCGGCTTTGCAAATAAGTCGTAGCTGCAACTGGTAGTTTCTGCCTTTCTGCTTCCCCCCCCCCCCCACACATGATGGTCCTGTCAACATCCTACTCAAGAATCTATCTATCTATCTATCATCTATCTATCTTTCTTTCTTTCTTTCTTTCTTTCTTTCTTTCTTTCTTTCTTTCTTTCTTTCTTTCTTTCTTTCTTTCTATCTTTCTATCTTTCTATATATCTTTCTTTCTATCTATCTTTCTGTCTTTCTATATATCTATCTTTCTATCTATCTATCTATCTATCTATCTATCTATTTTTCTATCTATCTATCTATCTATCTATCTATCTATCTATCTATCTATCTAATCATCTACATCTATCTAATCTTTCTATCTACATCTATCTATCTATCTATCTATCTATCATCTATCTATCTATCTATCTATCTATCTATCTATCATCTATCTATTATCTATCTATCTTCTATCATCTATCTATAATCTCTCATCTATCTATCTATCTATCTATCTATATCATCTCTCTCATCTATTATCTATCATCCATCTGTCTCTGTCTGTCTGTCTATCTATCTATCTATCTATCTATCTATCTATCTATCTATCTATCTATCTATCTATCTTTCTATCTATCTATCTTTCTGTCTTTCTGTATATCTATCTTTCTATCTATCTATCTATATCTATATCTATATCTATATCTATCTTTCTGTCTTTCTATCTATCTATCTATCTATTTTTCTATCTATATCTATCTTTCTATCCGTTTATCTATCTTTCTATCTCTCTATCTAATATATATATATTATTTATATTTATATTATATTTTATTATATTATATTATTATAATATATATTTTTATATTTTTATTTGATATATATATTATTTTTATGTTGTTTATTTATTTAGATTATTATTATTTTATTTTTATATGTTTTTTATTTTTATTATTATAATATATGTTCGATTTTTATTTTATTTTTATTATATATTATTTTTTATATTATATATAAGGTGTGTGTGTGTGTGTGTGTGTGTGATGACCCGGGGGGTGGCACAAAAGCAACAAAGTCACAAAAATAGGTAAAGTCCCTTTAATTCCTCCAACTTGGCCTCCAATGTCCAATTATCATCGGCTGGAGAAAAAACTCTCCCACGAACAGTTTCTAAAGGGACAAAATTCTGTCCAAACTCCAAGTACATAGAAATTATAAAAAAAAATCAACACAAACCACACTGCAGCAGTTAACGAGACAGGGCAGATAATGAAATACACACTTGGGAGGACACCAGAACTCAGATAAGACTTGACAAACCAGAATAATTTCACGCTTTGCTTCCAGCAACTTTGCCATGTGCAGTTTGCCCTTTTAAATAGTCTTCCCAGCTGCAGCCCATGAAGGGGATCAGGGCCCTTTCCTCCCCCATAAACCACGCAACTCACATTTCTCCCTTATCCGCTCCTCCCTGTGCGCCCTAGGATGAAGAGGGATGGGCCTGGGTCTTCCTTTGAATGCTCAGCCGGCCTGTGCCCTTTCCCAGTTTCCTCCACAACCACCGGAGCCATACTCCCACTCCCTCTCAGCTGTTCCACCTCTCCCTTGGAATCAGATTCCAACAGGGGCATAACAGTGTGTATGTTCAAGCATAACCCTGGAACGCTTCGAGAAATTCCAAACAAACCTGGTACACAGATTATTTAGTCTCTGAAAACAAATACTGTGGGGATAAGACACTTAACGGGGTTGTTGTGCCTTCAAATGGCTTCTACCGTACTGCCTTAAAATGGCTTCTACTGTACAGCACTGTGGAGTTGCCATGCTAACGGCTTCACAGTACTCCACAAGGGGGCTGTCTCTGGTAAGGGGGAAAATCCAACCTTTCCTTTGTTCCAGGTCGCCGAAATCAGGGCTTTGCCTTTCTAATACAGGATTAGGATAAATAAATGCCCGAGCAATGCCGGGTTATCGGCTAGTCCAAAAAAAAAATCCAGGTTCATCCCCATTTCCTACTGTTTATTGAATGCATCGTATGGTAAGGTCGAGGCAAAACTAACTCCGAGGTTCCCAAACAGCAATTCCTAGATTTAAACAATAGAGGACGTCCTCGACTTACAACCAGTTCGCTTACTGACTGCATCAAAGTGACAACGGCACTGAAAAATGTGACTTAGGACCATTTTTCATACCGAAGACCATTGGCGACATCCCCGTGATCCCAATTCAGA